AATAAATTAGTCATTGACTTCAAGCGGAAAGGTAACACGAGAGAACTATCATAAATCCATCGTTATTTAGCTCAACTTTAGAGTATAATTTGCAGGAAAACATCTGCAGATAAAAAAATATGGTAAGACAGAAATATCTTAACTATGAAATATATGATTCAGATAGTAAGCAGGACAAAATTTATAGATTTAAAATTGTAAATTATTTATTTGAATATCATGAAAAATAATTCTAATTGACTAAAAGGTTACATTAAAAAAGTTTATTAAGAAGCAATTAAGACATAAACAGTAAAGAATGTACCCAAGAAAAATCTCTAGCAAATCAACAAGATAGAAAGGAAGAATTGAACATTTGATGATGTAGAATAGTTATTTAATTCGATCGATGAGAAATACTTTTTAAGAATATTTTATAAGTGTAGAAAATTCAATAAGATTATTTCATATTTGATATCAATTTATAAAAATTGTAATATTATTGACTTTTTAATGTATATATGCAGTCCTTCATTTTATTCTCTTTGGACTCTTAATTTATGTATAAATAATAATGAAAATTAGGCACATCAATTAAATCATCATAATATTCTCTAAATCAAATCGTTTTTATTTTTTAATATGTATCTAGAAGGAAACCTTTGTATTTGATATTTCATTTTATGCAAATATGTCAAAATCAAAAATATTTTTATCCCAATCTTCTATTTGAATTTCATAACCAATACTTCCTAAATATATGCCATATCTAGTTTTGAATATATAATGTGTATTATTTATTCTTTAGATTAATATTGAATTATTTGTTTAATAAATATAATCATAGAATTCTCTTTGTTGTCTGAGATCATATAGATAAATTTAATTTGCCTTATCCAAATTTAATACTAAAATGTTTTCATCCCAATAGTCAAAAATGAAATTAGGATTAAGATGGTTTTTTGGAATGATATTTCTTAAATATTTTTTTAATTAGAATTACACTATATTCGAATTTAGCTCTAGTTTTAAGAAAAATAAATATGATTCATGTTTAGTTTTATCTAAAATCAAAAATTTAGTAAGAATTTCATTTCCAATCTACTCACTTGAGACTAATTTTGTAGTAGATTCAGAATTATATGTAACCCCTGTTCGATTAAATTCCATCTACAGCTAATTACTAACTATTTATTGGTAGATTAGAAAGATTTGATTTAATTGGATAGAGTTAATCTGTATTTCTAAATCATTTGAGTTTGTTTTATTCTTCAAAAAAACAAAATATAGATCTTAAGAATGCTCAATATATATTATATCTATGAAATTATGAGCAATTTTCACCATAGTAAAACTGATATCTTAATATAAATAAAAGTTGAATTAAACAATTTTATCAAATTTCCCGTTCTCATCAAATCAAGCGATTAAATTGGTTTAATTACTAATTAGTCAGTTAAATTTGATGTTATCCAACATTTTCCATCTTCCTTTTCAGGGCATTAAATAAGTTGAATAAAAAGATTACCTTTTTATTTAAAAAAACTAAGATAATAGTGCTATTTTATCCAATATATTGATATAAATTAGTTTTCGAATTATCGCATTAGTTGATTCCAAAATTTGAGTTTTCTACAATGGCAACTTCTAGTTAAGAAATACTTTGTTAGATTTCAATAAGATATCTTTTAATACAGACGCTGGAGATATTATGACTGCAATATTAGAGTCTCTTTTTTAATGGAAAAGGTCCATTCAATTTAATGCTTGAATTAGTTAAAAGTTTCAAAGTATTGATTGGACCAGAAAATAAATCAGAAATATTTAAATTTATAATTTGATGCTTTTCAATTTCGATAATCGATAAATTCTAAAGCGAATATAACTAATAGCAAAAGTTTTAAACAACTATTGTTAATTCAATACCTCCGCCCTCCTATTGTCGATTGTAGTATGCTTAATAGATTGATGATAAGCTATCTTAGATGCGTGTATTAGTTTTGACTTCTACCAAAAATTTATCAATAAATAACTATCTCAATAGTTGATTGCTGGAATACAAAAGATTAAAATTTCTAAATTAAAAAAATGGAGTGTTAGTTGAAATAATATTCCAAAAATATAAAGAAGAGAGGTTAAATTTAAATACAGATATAAAAAGTGAACTATTTTATTCAATCAAAATAGCTAACTATTGATTTTTCACTTAGTACTTAAGTGGAATAGAAAATTAATAATCTTAAAAGGTGTAATTCGATATATGATGTATTCTAAAATTATTATATTAAGAAAGGATCAAAGATCTACTGAAATACTCGATTGTCAATAATAATAAACCATCATTTAGAAATATTTAAATTTGAGAAAAAATAATTAGACCTTCCAAAAATTTAAAGCAGTGGATCTTTCCTTAATTTTCAATAGCTAAAAGATTAGGATATTGAATAATTTTAAAGTCTTTTATTTCTGAATAAAAAAGAATAGGTTCTGTTTAATAAAGACTTTTTAAGAGATATTATTAAATTAAACAAAATAATATTATAGTTGTTATATTTCTAATATTAAGTATTCTTTAATATTAAGAGGGGCAATTTAGAATTGTTTAGGTAAAGAAGGATGCTTTGTGCAAATTTCTTAGCACCTGTTATCACATCATCAAACTATAAATTAAATTGTTCAAGAGAAATCTTATTACATAGAATCACTCTCAACTAATTATTATAAATTCTGTTAACTATATAAAAATTTCCATTAAATTCTAGTACATCAACTTAATCTTTTTTTATATAGATAATTATTTTATTTTAATTGCAATCATAGATAAAAAGATTTGTTTCATTTTGGACACTTATGTAGCCAGGCTTTTCTAATAACATAAACTCAATATTTCCTTGAAAATAAAATTGCTACAGCCTTTAAAAGCAAAAGGATTCTTAAATTTCTTGATGATTTTGGATACACTCAAATTAATACTGCCTGCATTATTATTTAAAACTAATGAACTATCTTTGAGAAAATTTAAATTCTCTTAAGTATATATTATTTATAAACTATTTGAACAAATATTTGGTAATATAACCTATACAAATAATTTTTCTTTTTCATTCTTAGCCGGTATTTCTTATACAATTTTAAAACACTTGATTAAGGCTTTTTCTCTAAATAAATCATATCTAGATATCAAGTATATATAATTCTTTTTAGGTTTGATGAAAGAACTTAATGGATAAAACTTGTAAAATTATAATCCCTACATATTTTCATCATATTAATAGAAGAAATTATAAAATTCAAAAAAATGTATTGATGTGTTTGAAATTGAATAAGTTTAGTTTAATTAAGAATCAATTAATATAATTAATTTAAATTAGTCTTAAAAGAAAAATAGATCTGATTGGTAGAAAATATCACTATTTTTAAATTGTTAGTCTAAAGTTATCTCAAAAAGGTTTGAAGAAATTGTTGTTCTATTATCTTCTAATTAATAGACCAAAATTAACTCCGAACTTTTCTTTAAAATTATTAATTTTTATATTAGTTTAGAACTTTTGAATTAGAAAAAATTAATAATGCTTTAGTTCCCCTACCAATTCAAAAAAACTTAAAGATACTGAAATTTTTCTGTTAGAAAGATAGTATACTAAAATTCATTGAATTCACAAAATGTTACTTCATCCACAAAATAGTAATATTCTATTGAAATATCCTTGAATTTCATTTAAGGTTCTAATAGAACTATAATTTCTTAGCTTTTAATCATTAATACTCTCCATTTAGGGCACTGATAAAAAGCTACTATTAATGTATCATAACCAAGTTCCTTTTATTTTACTTTGCAAAAATCTTATATCTAATCTGAAGTATCATACTCCAAAATTAAGGTAACATTCTTTTATGAATGTGATTGATACTCTTTTGAAGTAAATGGACTAA